AGAGAGACAGAGACAGAACTGTAAATCAATCTCTATATTGAACATAGATGCAAAAATCTTCAAGAAGATTCTGGTAAATAGAATATAATGAATCGTCAAAGAGATCGCACATCATAACCGAGCCAGCTTCATCCCAGGGGCACAAGGAAGGTATTTCAACATATGTAAATCGATAAATGTGAAACATCCCATAGACTGGAACAAGGACAAAAATCACAGCATCATCTCATTAGATTCAGAAAATACCTTTGACAAAATTCAGCATTCTTCTTGATAAGACCAATGCAGAAAATAGGTATAGAAAAACCATCTTTGAGGACGCTAATTTCATTATGAGGTCCTTATTCTCAGCATCTCCTCTACGCATAATTACATCTCAAGAGCTAATTTTCAAATACTACCGCATAGGCTTTACAGTTCCAACATATGAATTTTAAGAGACAATAACTCCAGATCATAAAATCATAAAAATATATTGATCTGCATATACCTGCATGTATATATGTAAATATATGTATATATGAACAAATACAATGCAGATATATATGTGAACTACAGCTACCTGAGGTTTCTATGGTCTTTATATTTATCATCTTTCTAAGTACGTTACTTGCTTTTGTATTACTTTATTTTATATTCTTTCACAAATTGTTCCATTTTTCTCATGCTATTAATTTTAATTGAATTGATTCAATTCAGTCATATGTTAGTCTTCGCTGTCTTCAGTGCGTGATTACTTCATCCCTGAATGTTTCCTTGGTACTACACTTCAGAAGTGTCACGGCGTGTATTTATATATAATTTTCCACTGGGCACATTTCTTTGCATTCAAATTATAAATATATTCTCCTCAAATTCTGCCATGTTGGATATCTAGCTCATAGACTGTTTGTCTTCTTTTATTCTTTTTTGTTTGAAAAGTTAGCATTTTGTTTAGTTTTCATCTTAGTGTGATCAACCGCGTTCATGCAAGCCACAAATTCGAGGACAGCCAGGAGAATTATTTCTCACACTATGTAGCTTACCTTCTAGTGCGATAGGTGTAGATCTAGTTTTTATAAGCACCTGACATAACATTGATATTGTATGATTTTTGAATACATCATGATTATTTTAAAAATAGTTTATTTTATTTTACTTGATTATAAACTGAAATATTATGAATTTTATTCATTTTATTTTGTATCAGAGATAGAACTCAGAACCTTGTGTTTGCCTGGCAGGCACTTATGCCGCAGAGCTCTCACCCCCGCCTTATGAG